TATCCAGGACCATCTGGTTTTCAGAGTTTCCATGGAGAAGTCAGATGTGATTTTGATAGGTTTGTCTTTATATGCTACTTGGCCTTTTTCCTTAGCTGCTCTTAATATTCTTTCCTTTATTCTGTAAATTTGGTGTATTGATTATTATATGCTGAAGGGACTTTTTTGGTCCACTCTATTTGGTGTTCTGTAGGCTTCCTGTACTTTCATTGGCATGTCTTTCTTTAAGTTGGGAAAGTTTTCTTCTGTGATTTTGTTGAATGTTTTCTACATCTTTGAGATGGGTTCCTTCACCTTTTTCTATACCTATTATTCTTAGGTTTGGTCTTTTCACGGTGTCCAATATTTCCTGGGTATTTTGTGTTAAGGATTTGCTGAACTTGTCAATGTATCTATTTCTCCTAGTGTATCTTCAATGCCTGAGATTCTCTCTTCCATATCTTGTATTCTGTTGGTTATGCTTGCATCTGTAGTTCCTGATCATTTACCCAGATTTTCTATTTCCATTGTCTCAGTTTGTGTTTTCTTTATTGTCTCTATTTCAGTTTTCAGGTCTTGAACTGTTTCCTTCATCTGTGTGATTGCTTTTTTCTTGGCTTTTTAAAAGAGATCCTGTGATTTCTTGCATTTTTTGGTTTGTTTTTGCTTTAAGGGATTTTTTAATATCCTCTTTGAAGGCCTCTATCATTTTCATGAAGTTGTTATTTATTTATTTTTATTTTATTTTATTTTATTTTTGGTTGTTTGAGACAGGGTTTCTCTGTTGCTTTGGAGGCTGTCCTGGAACCAGCTCTTGTAGACCATGCTGGTCTCGAACTCACAGAGATCTGCCTGCCTTTGCCTCCCAAGTGCTAGGATTAAAGGCATGTGCCACCAATGCCCAGCCATGAAGTTGTTTTTAGGGCCAATCTCTTCTGCTTCATCTGCATTGGGATGTTCAGGTCTTGCTGGTGTAGATTCCCTAGACTCTGGTGCTATCATTTTGATTTATCTGTTGCTAAATGTGTTTTCATATTGTCTTCTTCCCATCTCTTATTCCAATGGGTGCAGGAGGAGTGTCTTCTTCTCCTAGTGAGTATGGGTCCAAGGTTCCTATCCAGTTGTGTGCATGCAGGTCAAATACTCTGATGGCTCTCCTCTTCCCATGGGTAGAGGCTGGACTGGTACTGGGGCCTTGGTAGTCTCTAGGTGGCCTGGACCACCAGGATGGGTTCCTCCATGTGCAGTCCCAGGCCTCAGGAGGCTCCGAGCAGGGCACCGGAAGGCCAACTTTCAATTTCTTGAATGCACTTTGCTGTATCTACTTCATGACTGCTCCAGTTCCTGCTCTGTGGAACTCTAGCTCCTTGATTCTTGCCCTTGTTCACACTTGATGACTTTTAAAGTATCCATGAAATGTCAGTTCCTCTGTTGACACTTTTCCTGACATCTTTTCAGCTCACCACTCTGAAATCTATGTTACATTAGGTATTTTTACTAAATATTTGTTCACAGTGCTCACAGCCTTATAAGCATTTACTATACATTTATTTTAATTAAAGGATCAATTTAACGTCTCCCTAGCCCACCACTGCACTCTACATTGATAGGCAGAAACTATGTCGTGTTGCCCAGTTTCTCCTAGTTGCACATTTTCTATTCAGTCAAAAGGGGGTAACTGTGTCCCCAGGAAATGGTTCAACCCAAGTCCAAGTTGACAAACTAAGGAGTTTAATTGGGATTACTTACGGGCAGCTAGACTATAACTTAAATGTCATCAGTGAAGAGCACAACTCTTGTACTTTCTGATATGACTCTCAAAGTCTTTACACCAGCTCCATGAAGAAATATTCCTGGGAACAACCTTGTGAGGATATTGAACAAGTAATCATACCTTGCTAAGATTTGAAAGACTCAACAGTCAAGGAATGCCTAGAGGACAGAGTTCCACAATACCCACTGCACGCTATTTAATGGAACTTTTTAATTTTGCACATAGCTATATAAATAAGGGACTAGTAAGGTTTACAGATTTTATAAAAGCAAATGTGTTTCTATTACATAGATTTTCATTTCATTCAAACTGCCCTCTAGTGTGTGTGTGTGTGTGTGTGTGTGTGTGTGTGTGTATACGCACAGATACTATGCTCAAGCATGTGGAAATCAGAAGGGGAGTCAATGTTCCCTACTTACTTTTTTGAGGATAGTTCTCACTGAACATGAAGGTGGCCATTTCAGCCAGGTTGACTAGCTACCAAAGTCCTGAGATCTTCCTGTCTCTCTCCTGCCAGTACTTGTGGCCACAGGCTCTTGTTGCCACACCCAGCTTTTATGTGGGTTCTCAGAATTTAATTTTAGGCCATGTTTCTTTTACAGCAAGCCTTTACCAACTAAGCAACCTCCTTATCTATTTTCTTCCATTTTTAATGAGGAAAATCCAAGTAAATTTTTCTTGTATAATTTCCCACGGATTAGTTTTAGTAAACAGCACCTGGCAATGCTGAAATGAGACCTGAAGACATAGGAGAGCTCTATAAATGTACTGATTATAGTAGACAACTGAATAGTCACGTATACTTTGCATGCTACTCTGCAGCATCCCCTGAAAGAACATTGCACTGGATAATGTCATGAATATTCAGCAGGGAGAACTGTGATAGAGAACTACACAAGATCACTTCCTTCACATCTATTTTAGAAAAAGTAAACAAACAAAAAGGGAAGATAATGAAAGGTAAATATTACTATGCAAAAGTCCTCATCTCTAAATTAAAAAAATATATATCTTTTTAAAAATAAAATAATCCTACCTATTTTGTCAACTTATACTGAATATTGTGACCTTCCATACTGCTGACCAATATTATTCTGAAGGAATATGATAAAGGAAAAATTGATGCATTAATATTCCTTCTTGTTGACAGGCAAACACAAATAAAAGCTTCTAGTCCAGAAATCCAGAGCTAAATTCATCTTCTTATGAAATTTGTGAATACATAAGGCACTTTTAAAACAAAGAAGTTGATCCATCATTCTCTGTCCTAGTTATAGGTATTATGGCCTGAAGAAACACCATGACCAAGACAACATGGGGAGAAAGTGTTTAGTTCAGCTTACACATCTAGGTAACAGTCTATGAGGGAAATCAGGCTAGGAATTCAAACAGGACAGGAACCTGGAGGCAACAGCTGATGCAGAGGCATGAATGAGTGATAATTACAAGCTTGTTCATCATGACTTGCTTAGTCTGCTTTCTTAGATAACTCAGGACCACCAACACAGGGATGGCACCACCCACAATATGCTGGGCCCTCTCTCAGCAAATTGTTCATGAATCAGTGAGTGTGCCTACACTATACTACTATGAGTTGTGCAGCAACTTCATGTTTGTCTTTTAGAACTTTGTGGAATTGTTTTTCAGATTTTGGTTTATTTATTTATTTATCTATTTATTTATTTATTTATTTATTTTTACTGATCTTTTTACTGATTTTACAGGATCCTATACTACAGCCCTTGCTGGCCTGGAACTCACTATGTAGCCCAAGTTGTCCTTGAAGTTGTGGTGTGTAGGGAAAGACCTAAGCACCTGAGCTGCTGACCACGCCCATTTTAGGTGTGGCTACAGGTGTGTACAAGCATGTGGAATAAAGGGCTGAGGATAGAGGCACTCTCTTTTCAGGGTTCCGGTCAGGTCTAAAAAGGATGCAGAGACTAACCTGGGTTTTCGGTTTCTTGTGTATTTTCTCACAATAAATAACTAACAATACCCTTATTCTGTGTACTGTTACTTTTCCTTAAAAGTGATGACCTTTCAACTGCCTCCAACATGCTAAGAAAACAGATATATGCCACAATGCTTAGCCCTTTTTCAATGTGTCTGAACTATAGTTGTTAATAAATGTAAACTATCTGAATGGGGAAGGAGGAGCAAAATATATTCCATTGGTTCTGTTTATCTGAATAACACTTTCATAGTCTGAATCTCGAATGGAGAAAGGGCCTAAACCAGAACTTCATTTTTTAGGTGTCCTGTTATATATTCAATCTCATAGACCTTTCTCATGCTCAGATTTTTGAGGCTTTCATTAAGTAATGTTTGACAAGGAAGACCAAAATTGTAATAATTCTATAACTAGCTGTGAAAGAACAAATTTCTGCTCACACCTTTCTGTAGCAATATTGAATGGGGTACTTAGCCAAATTACAAATTTCCAAGAAAGCTTGTTCTAAAATAGAAAAACAATTTATCACCCAAGAATACCTCTATTTGTTCTTTTTATAAAATATAAATTTTTCACAGTATTCATAAAATGCATATAGGAGAAATGAAGATCCTATTAGAATATAGTCCATAAGACATTCAAAGAAAAACTGCAAAGAGCTGCTTAACAAAGCAAAAGGTGTATAAATTCACTTGTAACTTAGAAAACAAAAACCCAAAACTACAAAAATATGCTGTTTTTAACCTATGATGCCAGCCAAAAAATTAAAATTTCCATAACACTCAGATGTGAGGGTCAATTCTCATTCACTACTAATGAGATGGTCTTTAAGAGTAGCACGACTTGTTAAAATTCTACAGCCATGTCAAGATGAAGGATGGAAAACTGCTTTTGCATACTCAAAAATCAAGACAGACCCCATTCCTCAAAATACAAGTATATATAAGAAAGTTGAATGAATTATTATACACATATACTGTACTGTTTTGGATATCTATTAAAGAGAGCAAAGCAAATTAAATATGTTGGTGTGAAAAATACACCAAAGATATTAAACAAGAAAGATACTGAGTAGTTTATATAAAATAACCCTTTGTTCATATTTTAAGGAAATCAATATAAACAGACCAGTAGTAAATGTAGACAACCATGCAGTTCAATAGGAAAATGAACATTTGTTTAAAAAACAGAGACTGATTTTAAGGAGAAGACAAGAGTATAACTATTTATATAATCATCTATTAGATGCCAACATTAAATGCACAACTTTAACTTAAAGGAAAATCCGAGTCCCACCTGATTCTTTCAAGTAGTGCTTAATAATTGAAGAAATTCCATGAGGTGCCACAAAGTTGCAATCTCCTTCCGTCACCATCATTCCTTCAATAGGTGCAGTCAGAGGCACCAGAATCCCGAGAGCTAACAACTCCTCATAAAATCTGAAACAATTATATGGAAATGTATAGTGTGATTAGCTCTGTAACCACTGTCTTGTCTTCTAAAATAACAAATCTCGCTATAAATCTTTATATGACCAACTCAATTTATACTGTGTTAAACAACACTTGTAATTCAGGGGAAGAACAAAAATCCTTCAAGGATCTGTAAATCTTCTACTGGCATTATAGCTAATTTAATAACTTCTATTTCTCTGTATAACTGTGAAGTCAAGAAAAGAACATACAGAAAATGTGGAACATTTACACAATGGAGTACTACTCAGTGGGAAAAAAAAACCAATGGAATCTTGAAATTTGCAGGCAAATGGACAGCACTAGAAGAAACCATCCTGAGTGAGGTAACCCAGTCACAAAAAGACAAACATGGTATGTACTCACTCATATATGGATTTTAGATATGGATCAGGGGAGTGCCAGCCTACAATCCCACTGCCAGAGATTCTGGGAAACAGAATCTTCAACCAATTACTGATGGAAGCAGAGGCAGACACCCACAGCTAAACACTGACTGAACTCAAGGAACCCAGTAACAGAGAGGGAGGACTGATGAGCATAGGAGTCATGACTGGGCTGGTTTAACCCCCAGAAACAGCTGACCTGAACAAGGGGGAGCTGTTGAACCCCAGACTGATGGCTGGGAATTCAGCATGGGACTGATCCAGACCCCCTGAATGTGGGTGTTAGTGAGGAGGCCTAGGCAAGCTATGGGGCCTTGGGTAGTAGATCCGTATTTATCCTTGCATACAAATGGAATTTGTGTACTCATCCCACAATGAGTACAGCCTGGACTCTCAGCCTGGACTCTTGGGGGAGGGCCTAGGCCCTGCCCTGGATGAAATGACAGACTATGGATACCCCCCATGGAGGGCTTGGCCCTCCCTGGGGAAAGGAGTGAGGGTTGGGGGAGGAGAATGGGGGTAGGTGGTAGGGCATGGGAGGGAAGGCAGAGGGAGAGGGAACTGGGATTGACATGTGAAACAACCTTGTTTCTAATTTAAATTTGAAAATAAAAAAATCAATTCCTAAAAAAAAGAAAAGAAAAGTACATAGAAAAATATTATATGCCTCTTTTAAATATGCTTGGAAATACTGACTTTCATTACTATCTGCCAACTCCAACACCAACAATTACTAAAATATATTTATCCTTTTTTTTGCTGTTGTTCCATATATAATTTTATACAGTCTTCACAAAGGTGATAAGAACATTTTACTGTCACAGGAGGCAAAGTTTTAAAATGTGTTAGAATGGATGATTTGGTTCACTTTACACCATACACCTGTCTACTAAGTTTCCAGCTAGTGATGAACTTACTCTTGATGCTTCTTGGCATAATGAGGCGTACAGGTGATATACTGAGCTCCCAAGTCAGCTGTGCATCGCGGATTATGAGGACTGTTGGCAGTAACCATTCTTCCCCCTTAAAATATCCATAAGCAATTGTCAGTGCACAGAATGAACCTTTTGAAATTCTCAACTCACCCCAGACAGCCTGGTGGCTTTATTGTCTTTGTCCAAATACATGAGGAACGTTATTAATCTAAGCTTAAGTCTTTATCGTTACTTATTGTATTGGGTATTTGGTCATTGTAAGTTTTTTTATTTGAATAAACAAAGGACTCGTGGATAATGTACGACTGCCTTACAGTGTTACTAGAAGCACCCATTGTGCTAACCTGAACATACGAACGAAAGGATGGATGGGTAAGACGACAAGGCTGAAATGCCAGAATGACTAAGGAAGGCTCTTCAGTCAGGACTTGGAGTCTAGATGGTTGTAAAGTGTTGCCCACGGGGGACTTGGGAATCTGCACACTCTGGAGAAAGCTGCAAGGGCCCAGAGCGGCCTAGCCCCCAGGAAGCAGGCGGGCCCATGCTGGCTGCCTCCCGGGGCAGTTCTCGGTGCCCAGCCAGTCTCTCGGTCTCTCGGGCCCCACCAGGACCTCGGCTCTCCCAAGCACCCAGCCTTCCGGCTGCGGCAACCGCGGGTCACGTGACAGCCCGCTCTGCGCGCGGCGAGCTGCTGCCGGCCCTTTCTCCTCTGAGCCACAGGGTGGCTGGCGGGCCTGCCGCTCCGAGGAGGTCCTTCCTCCCACTCCTGCTGTCCCTGCACTCACCTGCGTCCCCAGCCTTGTCCCATAGAGCGAGGTGCAGGGGGCCGGCTGCCGCCCTCCTCAGCAGCGCGGCGCACAGGCTTCCGGTGAGCCCGGCGCCCACGACCAGCACCCGGCGCATGGCGGCGGCTCTCGGCTGGGCGGGTGGAGGAAGGTTGGAGTGTCGCCGGCTCACGCGGCCACCGAGGAGTCCCCGCGAAGGTCAGGACCGTGCCCTGGGCGGGCCGCCTGCGCCTGAGAGGGCGGGGAGCCCGCAGAGGTGACCAAGACCGAGAGAGCCCGCCCCTGCCTCCACCGAGGAGCTCGCCCACTGAGCCCAGAATCCCATCCAGCCCTGGAGAAAATTCTGGAAGGCACAGCCTCGGAATGGACCTCGGAGGAGGGATCAAGTGAGGGAAGGAAACAGTAGAGATGGATGCCACAGCTGTATTTCTTTTCGAGTCTTACAGGTCACTTCCTGATGACAGGAAGAGGTTTTGAAAACAAGATGTTTTTGTTACAGCTAATCAGACATTACAAAGTATGTGTTCTTCTACAAATTATGTCTTTCCTGACATCGACTCCTCCGTCTATGAAATGTGGAAAACAATGCATCCTTTCCAAAGCTGTGAAGAATACACTTGGTTCACCAGAAAATTTTACATCACTTACCATATCAACAAATGCTACCTTCTGTGTCTGAATGGGTTCACTGTGCACCAAGAGATAGAATGTAAAATGGATTCTGCTGCTACCACTGCCCTATCTTCAACTACTGTCCTAGAAGTTCTCAAAGAAACAAAAAGGAATGGAAAAATAGGAACCATTAAAAATAGTTACCTTACAGTGCCGTGGAACCCTGGCAATTGTAGTCAATAGCAATAAACATTTAAAAATCAAGTTTTGCTTAATGTCTACATGGTGACAAACATTTCCATGAATCAAGTTTTTACTTGATCAGTTGTGTAGCTAATAAAGAAGCTTGAAGAAAATATGGGTGAACACAGATACCCTAAGGAGACATGTAAGCATAGCAATATAAACAGAAAAAGGATTCAATGCATAATTTGCAACTGTTTTTTTTACAAAGTGTAAATAATAATTTTTGCGTGAAAATGAATTTCTTATAAAATCTCAAAGAACACAAATGTCCTTTCCTGGAATCTAGGATAACTGAGAAAAGAATGAGCAAAGGAGATAGATACAAAATGAGTGTAGTTATATTAAGTCTTATCCTGATTCTTGGACATTTGCTGGCCACCTTTAAGTCTTTCTGCAGTTTTATTTTAATATACTTATTCTTCTCTTATACATTATATTCCAACTACAGTTTCCCCTCCCAGTTCTTCACCACCTTCCATCTCCCCCAGATCTACTCCTTATTTCTACAGACAAGTTAGTTTTGTTTTAAGTTTAAATATCTTCTTTAGACTAAAAGGGGAATTGTAGGGGGAAACTTAGGACTCTGCCATTAGCCACGTGGGGCTCTAGAGACACATACAGATGTGGTAACGAAAGGGCAGAACCACACTGCTAACCACACCCACTTTGGGCATGACTAAAGACAGGTAGGTGAACTATGCCATTAGCCAGGCCCACTTTTGGGCGTGGCTAGAGGCGTGTACAGAGGAAGGAATAAAAGATCAAGTAGCAGAGCCCTGCCCTCGTTTCAGCTTCCAGTTCAGTAGCATATAACTACTTGACTCATCTGGGTTGCCTGTTTTCTCTTGTGAGTAATTTCTACAATAAACTGTTATTTATACCCTCAACAAGTGTGCCGTTTATCGTTGTGTTGTCACTTGGGTTCAAGGAAGTCGTCCAGGGTTACAAATCATGGCAATAGTAAGCCAAAATTGGCTTTGTGATCTATCCTTGGATCCTGCTTCTCTGTACTTTACCATCTTTCTTATTGCTCAATTTCTGTTAGTAGTCAAATCATTTCAGACAATTAGACCTTGGAACTTCACAGTCACCTTCCAGGACTACTATTTTCTCATCTTTGCTATTGATTAGTCTTCAGGTCTTTTTGACAATTTCTTCATTGTCTTTTGTATCTGATTTTATGGAATTGTAGAACAGAAAATGTATCTTAATTACATGCCTGTCAAGTAGCTATTATAGTGTCTCGAGGGCTCTTTTCACACAATTCTTACAAGCTAGACATCCCTAACTGTGGAAAACAACTGTCACAAACTGTTTTTTTACTGGAACTCAAGCAATCAAAATCATTAATCATTACCTGAATTAGTATAATTCTGTTTTTCTTGTTCCCAGTCTCTGTTATGAATCTACACTGAAAAGCAATCATTGGTTCCCCAAACTTCTATCACTCTGAGTGGCAGTTAGAGTTAAGTTTTACTCAGATCACATTAGCCTAAAAAAGTATTCAGTGGATTTTCTACAATACATCTTTCTTTCGTGTCTTCATATTTCTCATGGTTTAGTTAATGGAATTTCTATTTCCTGGGCTTATACTCACATTTTCCACCTTCTGTAGAAATGGAAGACCTTTGCTTATGATGCTTTTGCTATATGTTGACTTCCGTTTAAATTTGACATTCATTTTCCACCTTTTTTCTTTTAAATTTTCTGCTTATAGTAAACAGTGTGCTCTTTTAAGTGATTTGTTCATAATATGAACAATATTTCTATTAAATTAACAATACATAAAAATACTAAAAATTAGTTAAATTTATATATTAATTAATCAAAATTATAAATTAATCAAAAGTTCTGCTATGTATGATGATGGATGCTACCTCCTTAAAACCATAAATATTACATTTAGAAAAAGGGTATATGAATTGATTAAAAATGTTCTGCTGGGAAGTAAGATTTGGAAGCATCCATTCATTGGATTTTCAGTATGAAAGTTAATATGCCTTGGATTAACTCAATTTGGGAGGCAGGTAGTGGGCCCCCAAAGAGTAAAATAAAACCCAACTATACTGTAGTTCTTGGTTTACATTGCTTCTAATATTGCTTGTATAGTCTTCTAGATGTTGGAGGCATATTTCCTTGGCTTTTAAATTTTAGAAGTTATTATTTGTAGAGAGAAGCCTTTTCCTTGCCAGTTGCCTGGGCTCTGCCAGTTGCCTTGGCTCTGCCATGTTGTAGTCCCCAAATAAACACACAAGAGGCTGTATTAATTATGAAGCTGTTGGCCTTGCTTGTTTCTTACTGGCTATCTCTGACTTAAGTACTTACCAGAGAAAGAGGTCAGGGCGTCTTACCCCTATTGCAGCTACATCGTGACTCCCTGTCTTTCTCCTACCCAGAGTCCTCCTGGACTCCTAGTCCCACCTATCTTGCTTCCCTATTGGCCAACAGTGCTTTATTGACATATACACAGGACTTCCCCAACAATTATGAAATATCTCCACCAAAATTCTTGTTCACTTTTAATATGCATTGTGGCATGCTGAGATAAGGACTCTGAAAGAGGCAAATCATTATTCCCTTGTGAATAGAACAATCTAGTCATAATTGAATGTATTGTTGGTTACTGGGTCAGCTATAATATTAAGCTGGGTTCTATCTCTTGAATATGCCTGCTTTACTATGAGATCTGGCTAAGAACTCCCACAGCAAGAAGAAATTTTACTTGAGTGAACATGTGGCTCAGTACATCACTTTTCTAGTGTTCAAGTGACCTTTCTGTCATCTTCCTTCCCATCAATGCAAAGAAAAAGAAACAAAAAACAAATAAAAACACACATACACCTTCACCAGATGTAGACCATAACTTTGGTCTAGTAGCCTTCAGAATCATAATGTGAATAAAATGTTACTCTTTAAATGGTACCCAGTCTATGGAGTTCACATAACAGAATTCTGGGATACAAGTTTACATTGAAATGAATGGTTCTTTTCTCTACACTTCTCTCATTTTTTCTTATTCTTTATGTAAGTTAGTGCCTTTGAACACATCAGTGACTAGTCTTTTTAACATCTATAAAGAAAGTGCTTCAGAAGGGCACACATTTCAACTCCTACAAAAACTGCTTCCCGAGAGCAACGGGTGCTCAGGAGTGTGTCCTCAAAAAGATAAGTTCTTATAAAATATATATTAGTAACTATGGGTTAATAATCAAATCAGAGCTAGCTGATAAGAAACCAAGTAAATGGCCAACAGCTTCAAAATTATTATAATGTCCTGTGTGTTATTTGGGGGATGAAAACAGCAACAGAAACCAGGCGGCAGGCAGAAAGACTAAACGTTACACCTCCTTCCAATTCCAACCCTAGATAATTGAAAACTAACCCTCACAGGTGTAAATTATCCTATATTATCAACAGTAGGGAAATGGGGTGTAGTCTTCTCAAAATTACTTCCTGCTGAAGTGGGACGATGAAATTATCATGGGAACCTGTAGGAAGAAAATGTTAGTATAGTGAAAGTCTTAAGTGGATTAAATAGTCTACTTCGGCTGGTGATGGTTGATTGAAGTTCTTGGCTGAAGTTCTAATGTCAATCAAATCTCTTTCTGAAGTTCTGGCCGGATTGTAGAAGGTGCACCATGTCAATTCATTGATCTGGAGTTGTGTTGAGTGATGTAGTCCCAAACTGGTTTTAGGATGGTACTTGTCAGATGGAGTTGATGATGTGGGGCCCCATTTTTTTCATAAGTTTTTGAAGATTGCTGTTGGAAAATTCCTTGTTCTCTGTGGAAAACTCAAACATTAATGTTAACAGAGAAATGTTCAACTTTTATATGTATGCATCCTGGGAAAGTCAACAATGAGGAAGATGGTAAATGTGAGGGAAATTCGGCTTTCAGGGAAAGAACTGAGTTTAAACACATGACAGTCTCTAGATTTTGTTTTCTTCTGTCTTATATCAATGGTTCCTTGATATAATACAGAAATTCTGAATTTTATTTAACAACATGCTTGGATTTAGAGGAGGAGAGCCAATCCAACTCCAAAGCCAGCTTCAGTTTAAGTCAATTGGGGCTAAAAATACAGGGAAGTAAGGAGAAATTGATATTATAAGAACAAGATGGAGAGAGTTAGACATTGATACAAACAGTGGATTCTTGTTTATTTGATGGTCCTTTGGTTAGCTATCCTCTCTTCTTCAGGTATCCATACGTTCAGTATTTTCTCACTGTTCAGAGATGGATTATCCTGTGAAGACAAAAACAAAATGCTCTCTTCCCCCTTTATGAGGTCTCCTTACGCATAGTAGAATATGACCTTCCTCTTCCTGAGGTTTCTCCTGTTCAAATCAAATCTTGGTTAATTTTGATAAAAATCCAAAGCCTTTCTTCTCCTGTGGAAACAAATGCAAAATCCCTTCCCCAACGTAACACACATCCTGGTTTCTGGTTGCTAAACTGAGATCATAACATCCTTGAAATACACCAGTTGGTTTAGTTCAGAAGTTTTTTCTGTAGTCCAGTGTCTT